ATTCGTTTTATAACCTTCCCAACATTTTCCCTGGCGGCTAACAAATTCCCTACTTTTTTTCCTGGTTTTTCAGAAAGTGGCTACTCTGAAAACAATGGGTCATCTCAGCATTTACTCATTAGATGTGCATTTGCTCAAGGGAAGAAACGGACAGAAAAAATTATCAGAACAAATGGATATAAAACCTTATCGAGATGGGGACCTTTCACCTTTCCAGGGCAGCTAATTCTAGTTGTGATTTGCCTTTGCCTTCCATTGTATGATGGATGGTAGTCTTATCATTAAGGATATTTTATGGTAGTTCAATTAAAATAGATGAGGATTAAAGCATTAAGGATATCACAAGCCAACAATGCTACAATCATTGTGATAGCCTATGTCTTATAAATGACAATCTTGCAGTCTTTGGTTCTGTGGATGTTACTCCAAATTCTGGCACTGCTGGGGCAGGCTTTGTTTGTGCTGAGGACCAAACTATCACATTCCTTGTACTACTGATATATTCAAAGAATTAAGAAAGTGTATAGTGAATTTAATACTTGTTCTTGAAGGTTCAGGAAGGAATGAAAAGTAAAGATCAAGGTTTTATACCCATTCATTACATACATCGATTATCCATCTAAAAATTTATTAAAGAGTACATAACAAGAGAGGCTAAGTAAAGGAACATCAGTGGCAGGCAACTTACAAAATTCTTCCCAAAACAAACATTAGTCTCAATTGCAATAATTTTTATGCAGAAAACAATAATGCTATGCAGGGAATATGACAACTTTAATAACATGTTCATATCATGAGCAGAACACAAAAATAAATGCACTTTTTTCATCTGCACATAATCTCAAAATAATAAATAGGCATTACATTAAAATCTCATTTTCATCATATTAATACAATGCATATTGGAAGTTAAATGTATAAACCATCATCCTTCAAAAACTCAGTACAGGTTCTCTGAAGTGGTAACTTATTTTTGGACATTAACTAATATTCCTTGTATAAAGTAAACAATACATTTTCCATACAAATACAAATATATATATTAATTACAGTTGACATTTACAATAGAACTTCATTAATTAGTCAAAATGGAGGGGCTTCTTCATTATGTTTATTTGAGGGAGAAAAGAGAGCTGGTGGTGTAATAGAGCAAGGCAGCACAGGACGGTGCAGTATTGTACACAACAACCTTGACTTTCCATTATTTTTCATGTTACATTTAATATATGTATAAAATTGACATGCAATCATATTTCTTAAACAAAAAAAATATAAATATAAAATCAATGCAGTCCTAGTCAAATCTTTTCTTTATTTCAACATTTCTGTGAATTCTTTTTAAGCACTACCTCAACATGAAGCTAATTGTTATATCTTTTGTTGTATTTGGTTTATATTCACCAACTTTCATTTCGTCATTCTTTTCGGGATTTAAAACTTTCCGAAGTGTCAGAAATAGATGCGAATGTTTACAATTTTTCTACATACACAAAGCGCACTATGTGAGATATAAAAAAACTTTTAAGCATTTTTTTTTATTTTTCCAATAAAACACACAAAGAAAAAGCGTTATAACATGGAACACCCATTCACTAACTGCTATTTCTAATCCAGGGCTAGGTTTTGTTATAGAGCCATAATCCAAGGAATTTGACACAATCCTGGATTATCAAAAAATCCAGGGCATTATTTGGCAAGTTTTAAAAATTTATTTGTTTTTCATGAGAGGCCATTACATGAATGGCATTTCCCTGGATGATTTAAATTTGAATTAGAAACTTTACTGACTGCTTCTTCAATATCATTTTGGGATAAATATTTTCCATTTTATAACATGTCAGGTCCAAGTAAGGCAAAAATAGTCATCACATTTTAACATCTGCTTGTAGTGTAAAGATAAAAAAAAATAACTGTTTCTATTCCAGAAAATGATTTCAATAAAAAATTATTCAAAGCTTACCCACATGAATTGAAATTTCTATTTGTATTGATTGTTAATGTCACTAATATCAACATATTTTAATACATTTTACAGATATTTATTCTTTACCTGAAACATTCAACTACATTATTATAATTTTCACTAAAAATGAGTCTTGCAATACTAGTAATAGCCGCATACTGTTAATAACGCTGCCATAACTTTCAAAAGTGTTTCTAATCAGCAAACTCTGCTATCAAACTCAGGGTCTTCAAGTTAGCACTCATTCACAATACCTTTACATCACCAGCCTCTCAACCTTTCCTATGCTTAAAAAATAGTTGAACATTTGCGATTGCAATTTTCAACAATTTTGAAATTTTAATTTATATTATTCAAGACCTAGTTTTATAGAACAGGTTTTATTATTTGACAAATATCTATCATCATTATTGTAGTTTTTCAATATCAATTTTTTGCAATTTACAAAACAACTTGAGTGTAAAAAATGGGACCAGCACCATTCTTCTGGACCTTTGTTTGCTGGATCTAAGAAAAATAATTGTTTAAAAATTATCTTTATTTAACCCAAATTATCAAAAACTACTAATATATTCTAAAAATTACCATGCATCACCAACCTCATAGTTAAACTCATTCTTTCCTATTCTTAAAATACTAGTGATGCAAAACGTATTTCTCTTTCGTATTTTCACGCAAAATTACGCGGAATATACTCAAATTTTCGATAAAATGTACATGACCTTATTTCAAAATCTGTCTTTAAGGAACAGATTTCATTAAGGGAAAAAATCTGTATCTTTAATATTTTAGTTGTACGAAGACTCCGACAATTTTTTTACTTTTGCGATTTCCGAAAAATCAGTTTTCAACGAACATGAGACCTGCACCAATCGTCCTTTAGACTACTCAACAACATTTAATCAAAAACGATGGACCCCCTTTTTTTAATGTTTCAGGGGCTTCATGTAAAGTACTCCCTAGAATTAAAATATCGGTTTCAAACTCAAGGAGCCGCGACATCAACCAGATCGATTGGGAAATATCAATTTTGGAGAAAATCGGCCGAACGGTCCACCCGCAGAGTTGTTCACAGACGGACAAACAGACACTTTGCCGTCATTCGATTTTTCGCCATCAAGGACCCAAAAACACGGATTCTGGCTACACCACCATTTAGAGAACTTTTTTTCTAAATTTGGCAACTGAATTTATCCACTTTTTCGTTACCAGGACCCTGTAATACGAGTTTTTCAGCCGAAAATTCGACGTTTTCTCGCGCAGCATTACATAACTTTCTATTCCGTTGAAAGTAGAAATGTTTGCAATTCCAGTTTTCACAAATACTAAGATTTTCATTTATATTACGTATTTCAAGATCTAGTTTTTAAAGAACAGATTGCATTAACGAAAAAATCTCCATCATTACTTTTGCAATGGCAATTTTCAAAAAATATGAGTTTGTTGAAAATGGGTACAGCAACGTTTTTCCTGGCCGAATCCTTGGCCTTTCCTTTGCTGAATCCAAGGAAAATAATTGTTTAAAAATTACCTCTATTTCACCCAAATTTTGAAAAAACTACTAATATTTTCGAAATATTGTACATGACCTTTTTGTTAGTTAAAGATGTTTTGGAGAACACATTTCATTTTGGGTAACCTCTATTTTCAATATTGTAGTTGTATGAAAACGTGGCAAAAAATTTGTACTTTTGCAATTTTCGTAAAATTTAGGATTTCAACAAAAAGGAAATCCTCACCATTTTCAAAATCAGTTCTTTAGGCTATCATCGGGCAGAACTCAATAAAAAGGGTCTTGGATTGGTCCAGCTCGATCAAGGAATTTTCTCAATTTTTGAGAATATACCCTGAATGGTTTAAACGCTAGCATTGACCACAGACGAACGATTATTTTCGATACTGAGGGCTCACAATATTGATTCTGACTACCCGGCATGTTAGAGGTAGTAATTTACTACAAAAGGAACAAGATTTTTCCCCTTTTTCGATACCAAGGTCCCGCAACACTAGTTTCTCTGTCGAAAATCGCCGTTTTCTGACGAGAAAATGTAAAAAGTTAACTTACAACATTTTGAGGCATTTTTAATATTTTGAGTTTTGTTTCGATATTATGTTATGAATAAAACTACAGTATTAAGAAAAAAATGATTTTAAATTATGGAAATAATCATTTTAATAAAAATAATGTAAATGGTATATTTATGTTCATTGGCCATCTGATTTTATGATTATATCTTTGCAATTACAACAAAGGAATCTGATGCAGTACATTATACAAGTATATTTTATAATGAATTTTCAAAACCCAACCCATGGCTTTACAGAAAATATCTTGAGAAGCTCCTTGGCAAGGAAAGAAAAATGTGATACCATTGAAATGGATATTGTATTTCCAAAATGCATTATCATCATCATCATGGACAGCAAGGATTAGATCTCTTGGTCTGTTCCGTCTCAGAATTGTTCAAGAGACGTCCTACACTTCTTTTTCCTTTAGGTACATATTGAAAAATAGTTTTACTTATTCTATGTTCTAGCATTCTCAGGACATGACCTTTCCAGTTTTCTCGATATTACTTCTTTATGGTATCTATAACCGGTTCAACTTTTTGTTCTTCTCTAATATCTACACTTTTTTTGTGTCTAATAGTGAGTATCCTGCCACAAAACGAAGAAATCTCATTTCTGCAGATTCAATTCGGCGTAGCTGATCTGATGTTAATGTCCAGCTCTCACTTCCATAAAGTAGTAATGGCAAAGCAATAACTTTGTAAAATCTGAGAAGAGTTTCCTTTTGCGCATTATGATGTAGAGTTTGCTGTAACGTTTCATAGAAATATGTGAAGTTGTTCAGCTTTATTTCCATATCCCTCGATTTTATATAATTAAAATGATATCCAAGATATTAAAATTCATTTACTTATTCAATTATTTGGTCATATATAACTATCTTTGCTCTTAAAGGTTCAAGTCCTTTAAATGCCATCACTTTTGTTGCATTTTATTGAATTAACACAAAATGCATTAATTCAATGAAATTGAACATGGTTTTATGGTAAAATAAAATTGACTTGTTCAGTTTTAACATGTAAAATTTTGTTTCCATTACCATGACCATTTGGAATCATTAATGATAGTCCATTACATTCTTATCTCATAATCAGTCATTTAGTTTATTAAATGCAGCTTAATTGTGAAATACTTATTTGTGTTATTACATATGCTTTAAAATCACCTAATGGATATATCCTAAGAGTTAGCACCATTTTAAACCCATAAATTATTTAGTTAATTGGATACTTATAAATTAATATTACTATATAAACTAGTAAATCGAGGTACCATAAACAGTCAAACTGTTAAGGACCCTCTCTACTTAATCCTTAGGATTCTTGTGAGCCTTAAGACTGCTCTGCACCTCACAATAGTGAAACAATTAACTGACTACACTGTGAACATGTTGGTTACTAAATCTACTAATTTTTCTATATTCACATGAAATAGTGAATGTAATAAATTAAATTTTAACAAAAATCTCACAAAAACAAGTAGAGGTTAGAAAACATATCTTGATAAGTTCCCTGGTACATTAACGATACCTACAGAACTGAAACTTACTGAAAATGGTATTTCATTGACAGTTGCATAGCAAGACAGAGGGGGGGAGGGGGGGGGGAGGCAGGACAGCAGATCACATTGTAGATTTCATCCACTCTCACTTAGGTAAGGTGGTGGTGTTTCATTGTTCAGAACTTTTATTATTACAACCTTTCATCATCCTAAGTGACAGTTTTATCAAATGTTTAGAAAACAATTCAAAACTGGACTCAAATGTAATTGCATCGTGGTAATTCCAGCATTCTCTTATCCTATTAACATATTACCTTTCTTGTATCTGTCAATGTAGAGAATAGTTTTGCAATCAAAGCAACACAGTGAATGTTGAATGAGAATAGTTCTTAAAAAAACAAACATATTTTTTGTCCATGCAGAAAGGATCACAAGTACAGAAAAAGTTCAACATCTTAATTACCTTGCCGTTCCTCAAAACTGAAAATATTTTAATACAAATTTACACAAAATGATTGTAATATTTTGCTAAATATTTGTATGATTCATTTTGAAATATACAAACCTTTTCTTTGATTATATTGCAATTTATTCTGGAGTCCATCATTGACTCCCCCTCCTCTCTTGGGTTCTCCAGGTACCATTGCTATGCGACTGTTAATTGTCTGGTCCTGAGCCCCTAGGCTGAATTTGCTGTCATTGCCCCTTGCAACATTATCAATGTCTTTGAGACATTGCACATTGTTGCTCATGTTCTCTAGATTACAGTACTTAGCAACTTCTGAACTTAGAGTATATTTTTCCTCCAGGCTTAATGTAAAGAGGATAGCCCTTCATTACAATTTAGCATATTGCAATTAAATGTAATTACTTCATTCTTCATTATTAAAAATGTACTGTATTTAAATTCATATTTACATCCAGAATTTTTACACTTTATTTTCCTGGAAGAACTGGAAAATTCTAGGACTCTGAGTATATTAACCCAGCCCTGAAACATCTTATTAATAAATTATATTTCACATGAAAAACATCTTGATCTACTTATATGTTTTCAACATTAAATTAATTCTATCAAACGACTAGTTCTAAAAACGACATAACAAAGAAAGCTGAAAATACATTTCTTTAATATAAACCAAATACACAAAAGCTTTCTCTCCTTAGCTGCTTCAGATTGCATGGCTTAAGCACGAGATTCTCTGATTCAAAATGAAAATAAAAAGCACTCTATCATACAACAACAGCTCCTGCTTCACTTCGACTTTCAGGTAACGGAGGGCAATCTTGCCATTTATCAGCTAGTGGATCATAGCACTCCACAGAATTGATGGTGATTTGAGCTCGATAAAAATTCACCTCGTGTGTTTCATCTCCACCAATTACATACAAGAGTCCATCCGCAGCTGCCACAGCAGGACTTGCTCTGCCTACATGCATTGGTGGAACTTTAGTCCATTTATTCTGAAAGCAAAACCCACAACAAACATTTCATGCACTTACTTATGGTTTCCACAGCAGTACAATAATAGTAAAGCATGACCATCCTTGATAATGATTTATCAAAGTGGAACAAAATTTGTCAGTCCTCTACACAGACAATTCAGATTTTTTCTACACTTTCAAAAATTAAATAAATGAATTGAAAGCTATGAACATTCATAATATTGTTTGAATGGCAATGAGAGTTGAATTTATCCTTGTACATTCCAAATCATTGTGATAATTCCCCTACACGTAACTCTAAATATCCTTAAAGTATTGTAAATTATGTCAAATAAACCTTGATAAGTTTTTTTCTCTTTCAATTTACATATCATTTATCTTCACCAGTAGAGCTATGAATATAAAGATACTCACTTCCTCAAAAGAATATCTCTCCACAGAATCAAGAACTTCATTATGTCGATTTGTTCCTCCCACAACATATAAAAATCCATCAAGAACAGCAACTCCCATCTGACTACGTGGTACTAACATAGGGGTCAAGGGGTTCCATTCCCCTGTAACTGGGTTGTAACTTACTAAGTCTTGCAAATGCCGACAACTGTGCGTGCATCCACCTACTATGTAAATGAGACCTGTAAGTGTAGACACAGCAGAAATTACTGCAAAATTTTAATCTGAAACTTTCTATCACGCATTAAACATTTTAAGTAAAGTACTGTTAATTTACCATCATAGGAAACCACTCCCATGCTGAAACGAGGCTCAGGTAAGTTTCCATCCAACATCCATTCATCTAGGATTGGATCATACTTTTCAATTGAGCCACCAATATCTTCTCCTACCCACCCACCTACAGCATATAAATTCCCATCCAAAGCACAAAGACCAAATTCACATCTTGGAACAACCATACTTGCTACTTTGCTCCAAGTGTCTTCTCTGGGATTATATGATTCACCATTAGCGAGGATCTGCGATTCTTGTTCTCCTCCCACAACATAAATGAGACCATTTAAAGTAGCTACACCAGGTAAAATGCGACCAATTCCCATTGGTGACACACGACACCATGTTCTTCTAAAAGTATCAAACCTTTCCACTGATTCAAAAGTGCATTCTGATGATCGAGTCCAAGCACTCATTAACTCACGCTTTGAGCCACCAATCACAAATATATCTTTCTTTGCACACAGGCGAGGATGTACAAATAAGGGAACTAAACTGCCTTTTTTTGTAACCAAATCTTTTCTCACTGAACGTAAAGCTACTTTGAGACTACCGTCACCACATTCATTTATAGCACGTTCCAAAAGACAGATGGAAAGTAGTGGTAAGCGCACATGAGCCAAAACTTCAAAGACATAGCGTCGTCGTGCCATCACATCATGCATTATCCATCGCATAGCTGCTTGGAATACCTAAAGCAAAAGGCAATTTAATGGACTCTTCAAAGAGGTGCATATTTCACATAACACCAAACATTCTATACCTGAAATTCAGTATCTACTCGCAAATGTTCACTGGATAAAAACATTATTAACTGGTCTTTTGGTAAGTCATAAAATTCTTCTTCATTTGATATGTCAGGAAATTGACACTGAATAAAGTCAATGGCAACATTGGCTAATTCCTCACAATTATGGCCTTCAGCAAATCTAATGGAAAAATATTATTTTACTAGTCAAATAAAACATTCCTTTATTTATTAAAATATTTATTTCACACAATTTATAAATATATCAATACAATGTTATGAAATCATTTAAATAATTTAAGCTCTAGCAAGATTATGAAGTTCAAATAATTACAACCATGAAAAGGTGGATCCAAATATATTACCGATAAATGCCAATAGCATTTGTAACATGAAGCTCATGCTTCAAGAATTCAGTACATCCAATGACTACTTCTTTCAACTCCAGCATGTCAGCAGCAACCATGAGATCCTGAACATTTTCTTGATTGATGTCTATTTCCCCTAAGAAAGAAACAAAAACAAACAAGCAATTGGTAATGCAAAGAAAAACTGCACTCATGTAGGTCAAATTGACACAGTAATAAACCACAACAGGTGACAATTTAAAACCATCATACACTTTTTACAATATAAGTGCACATTCATATTCCTGAATGGCTGAAAAGTAGAATTTGTATTTAATCCTTACTTTATAATATGTTTATTTAGTTCATAGGCCATATTTTTTGCATATTCACTTGTAAACTCATAAGTAAAGCATAATCTCTAGAAACTTGCTGTGTTGTAGGGAGTGAAATGCTCATTCTCACCCGTGAATGGATATTATAAGAACAGGTACCAATTAGCGTAATTGTTTTACTTCAGCTTTGATTAGAATGTATTCATACTCGCTTGTTAATACAGAATTAAAAGAATCAAACTCTGGAATACGTTCACTGACTGAGAAAGGTGAACTTAATGCATGACAAATTAAAATCAACTGAACTTTCAATATCACAGAAAAACATGACCAGTTAAAATTTAAAATCATACAGTTTATATTCTACCTGAATATATAAATTCAATTAGACTGTGTAACACATGTGGTGATATTGCGTGAAGTTCCACAGTATCCTGCTGTTCTTCTAACAACCCTGTGGTAAACATTGCTTGAAAGTAAGGACTACTGGCTGAAAGAACGGCACGATGTGCCTGAAAACAAAAACATTTTTAAATGCTCTCATGAAACACAGAAAGGAAAAAAAATAAAGGTTGAAAAAGAACAATAAGTTAACAAATTACCTTCATCACCATTCCCCCAGCAACAATTTCTACATCACAAAATCTCATATTCTGACGTAGAAAATTCAAATTTTGAAGCACTTTATTAGAATAGTGATGTGCAGTATAATGTTTGCTAGGAGAAGAAATATTTGGCGATTCATTTTTTATAGGTGATGATAATACAAGGCGCTGACACTGCCCAGACGTCTGGCCTGTGGACCCACTACTTTTCAAAGGAGGCATTGCCACACCAGCCATCAAATCATGTAAGAAATGTCAATGACATGTCTCACAACACATACAAATTTTTCACACTGCTTCACCTAAAAATTTACACTTCATGAAACTTAAAATACTTCCCATTGTTTACTCACAGAGTGAATGTAACACTTACATTATGCATAATACAGTATTTCGACATTAATTCATTTATTCTTACGTACCAATGAAGTCATTCGCATCAGCTGTCAGAACTAGTGGAATAAAGCGTTTGTTCTAGGGAAAGCCATCTCTGCTTTAACGTCAACGAGAAGAAAATAATCACAGATGTTTTAAGTTAAAAACACTACACAGCGAAAACATAACACAAACTTATGCATCTTTCTCAGTCTGTTATGTGTGCGCACTGCTCGATGTTCTGGCGATCGCCCAACGCAATACTTTCTCTTGACACTTCTTTTCTTTATTTTTAGGCTGCAATGAAGAACTACAGCTCCAGCTGGTCCGTGCTTGGATCTGACGTTTGTCTCCGATTCTGGTTCCTTCAGATCCTTTGAGAACGGGTCCAAACTAGCGGTTCAGATTCAGGGGTGGATGGGTGTGATTCACTGTTTGGCGCACGCACAGCAACGCACAGTGTGTGAGTAAACAGGAGGGTGAACTTGGAATGAGCTTTGCTCACTTTGCAACGAATTGCTTGTTATGTGAATATGTGAAAATAGAATCGTAGCGAATTGAGTGAAAATCCACTGTTATTACTATTAGATACAGTTATCATTTGTATGATAACCTTCGCTTTGGAAATCTGTTCACGTGTATACTGGTAAAAGCAATTCTCTAGGTGTTACACGTAATAAATATTGTGAATGAACAAGATATAATGTTCAGTTTCTTTTAGCTTCCTTGTTTATATTTTGTCGGTTGCGCGAAGAATGTGTTAATTTACAAATAATTTCTGTGTTCGTGAAAATGACGCTCTTCATTTTGCGCTCACTAGGTAAGCCCTTTTCTATAATATTGTTACCAAATCAGGCCTACGCATTGTTTACACCAAATATGGCATTAATGTTATGCCAATGCATTCCAGGAAGTAGAGCACGTACAGCCATCAGTGAGTTTTCATATGAGTGTTCCAGACGATCTAGGCTTTCAACAAAACCAAGTGTAAAAGAAGAGGGTTTGAAATCAGAAACCGGTAATAATAATTCCTTAAATTTTTCTGATTGACAGTGGAAGTCAATAGACAAATTAACAGTTGTAATTGTTCTGTACTTTCAGATATAGAAACATACCTAGACCCACTGAAGCACCCTGATTACTTTAAAGTTCATGAACTTTTTACTATCAGTGACCTATTTGAAGCAAGAGTTCACTATGGACACAAAATTGGTTCTCTTAATGAGTATATGAAGCCTTATATTTTTGGTTCAAGACAAGATCATCTTATATTTGATTTGGATATAACTGCAAGACATCTGAGACAAGCCCTGAATTTCACTGCCCACATTGCATACCAAGGTGGCATAATTTTATTCATTTCTCGAAATGCTCAGGTAATTCAGTGTACACAGTAATAATTTATAATGCATAGTAGTTCATAAAATATGCATAGTAATGCATCTTTTGTAAAAATTTTCAGATGGCTCATACAGTTGAAACGACAGCTTTAGACTGTAAAGAATTTGCTCATACAAGGTATTGGCGTGGAGGAATCTTCACAAATTCCCAGTGTATTTTTGGTGCTACAACAAGGCTTCCTGATTTGTGTATATTCTTAAATACTTTAAACAATATTTTAACGCAACATACAGCTGTAGTGGAAGCTGCAAAAATGAACATCCCATCTGTTGGTATTGTAGACACAAATTGTAATCCACTTTTACTCACTTATCCAGTTCCTGGCAATGATGATACACCATGTGCTATAGAATTATATTGCAAATTATTTAAAGAGGCTATACTGAGAGGGAAAGAGCAGAGGCAGAAGGATATTGATAAATAATTGTGTAACAAAATCTTGATTTGTAGTAAACATTAATTATTACTCTTTTATTTCTATCAATAATTTATTTACTCCTGAATTTCAGTAATTGTCATGATTTTTATTGCCTAGTTTCCTATGAAATTTTCTTTCACAGGATAGTGATGCAAACAATACATCTTGTTTACTGGCAAACAATACAAAGTTCTTGTTTACTTTTTCAAATTAAACCTTTTATAAATCCATTAATTCCTTAGGAAGAATTCAAACATTGTTCCATATATTCTCACCAATTTTCATTCTGCAACTAAGAACAAAACTGCTTCCTTCATATGTGCCATAAACTATTTTTATTTTTAATGCTGTTGGTCAACTATCTGTTTGTTTTAACGCTTCATTGTTCATTTTTTCGTTATTTAGTTTGCTGCTGAAGTAGATACCTTCTAATAATTAAATACGGTAAATTAAAGACAGTACCCCTGCATTTCACGTCCCTGCACCCCACCCCACTTTCTGCCCCCCCACGCTGCCGATCGACGCTCTGTTCTTTAACAAAACATACTCTTTAAAACTTGCAGAACTTTGTTTTGGGCCCGGAATCTGCAAGGTATGTATGACACAGTTTGCTTACGCATCTGGAATACGATGATATAATATTTTGTAATAATTTATAATTCATGTATTAATGTAATTTTATTTCTGTAATTTTAATTTTAGTTCTGAGAATGATCGCTACACAATCGAAACAATCTTAAGGAAAAATATATTTTTGGATATCGGGCAACATCTTTAATTTACTATATTCAATTTCTTTAATTTAAAATATATATTCTGCCAATTAATCAGTAGTGAAATAGTTGTTATGGGAAGAGAAAAATAATGTTCAATCTGTTAGCCCAGTCTCTAAGAATTGAAAATGAGGGGTTCACTGGAAAAATATTATAAAATCTGTTTCTTTGGGTATGTACCCAGGCACTAGTTAAAACCCCAAGTTTTCAACCTCCGACGCTCTGTGCTAACTAACTTTGGGAGACCCAGAAAAACAGTACTTTTATGACATTCTGCATTTTTTTCTCAAATCACACTTTTTACCTTAAGCGTTGTAGAAAATCATTCCAATTAATTTTAAAAATTAAATTTCCTACAACATTTATAAGAAGCCTTTCTTTCGGAGCAATTACAAAGTTATTTTTTATATATATATATATATATATATATATATATATATATATAATATATATATATATATATATATATATATATATATATATAACCTAGTTATGCTCCAATAGCGCATACTTCCTCGCATTATTTCTGTCGTTTTGAAGTTTCATACAAGGAAACAAAAATCAATCTGTTCCATTATTTTAAGTTATTCTATGTGTGGAAAAAAATTGAAGTGGTTTTTGGTAAAATGTGTTGTTGTTTTTTTTTCTTTTATAATTTTAATTAACTTTAGGGAGAATTTGTGGAAACTACTTGTTTGTTTCAAAAACTTATACTACAATTTTGTCAATGTGTCTAATCGAGAGTAATTTTTGGTCAAGTGTTATTCCTAAATATCATGTTGGTCCAGTTGATAAGGGTGTTGTCGCGAGTAAGCGAGGGGGTTAGTGTCTGTTCTGTTTATGTGAAACTGTATTGAAGTGCATTTTGGGTGATACAAAGTTAGGTTGTTTTCTGTGGTCCATTATGTGATGTGGTCTAGTGTATCCATATGTAAGTCATAATCTTGTCACTGTCAAGTCGGTGTTTGCGTAGATGTAGCCATTTTATATGAGCAGCAGTTGGAAGGAGAGGAGTGTAGGACTGCTGCTTGGGGACGCCAGCAGAAATAGGTGACAGACATGAAACGATCTATTTGATAGGTAGTTTTTCAGAAGAGGGAGAAGAAATAGTGGAATGTGAGATTATAAAGGTTTATATAATCGAATGCTTGAGAGAAGTGTAGAAAAATTAATGGTCTGGTAGCTCTGTGGTATGATATTTGGTAAGTGTGTAGTCATGTTGATCTGCCTGCCTGAAAACCGAATTGCGGTGGTCGAAGTTGTGCGTGAATTAGTGGTGTCAGTCGTTTTAATGTCTTTTCTAAAATTGGTATTACACTTATTACTCCGTAGTTGTTAGGGTTTCTGTGCGATGTCTGGTTTTCGTATCATTGTAATTTTGTCATGTTTCCAGATGTAGGAGAAATGGTCGTTAGACAGACGTTCAGGAGTCTGGACAAGATGTTCGGGGCGTTTTTAGTCAGTCGTTTCAACGCAACTGCTTTCACTCTGTCGGGTCCTGTCGTTTTACCTTCGTTGAGTAAGTGAAGTTCGACTTGTATTTCTTTGTCAATGATGGTCCAGGGTGGTTGTTGGTGTGAAAGATGGTGTTTTGAGGAAGTAAAGAATTGCTGAGGAAGGAAGAGGGGTGTTTGGGGATGTGAATCTGTTTTGGAGTTTGTCAGTAAAAAGTTGTCATGGTTTGTGGGTTGTATGTTAGAGTTTCGTCTGGTTAGATGAGTGGGGAGATAGTACTGGTTTTTGTCCATAGTTCTTTGAGTGTCAAATTATCCTTGATGTCGGGTCAATTCGTCAAGTGTTTGTCCATTTTTACTTTCCCGTATACATACGTATATACGGAGTAATATAAGTAGTATAAGGAATATTATATAATACTGCACGGAAAATCGGCGGATTTTCAATTTTTGAAAGTTTTGGTAGTAAGATTTTTAAAAAGTGTTTGTGTTCGTGTAATTTAAAAAAAATACAAGAACAAGATTTCTCACAAATGCACGCTAAACGGTGACAAACGCTATATTGCTCTATTCTTTGTTTTATCAAAAATTACAAAAAATTAATTTTTTGGGCTTACCTCTCACACCATTAATATTTACATCAGCGACGATTTGTTCACATTGTTGCATTTATGAGTACATGTATGAATGATATCTAATAAAGTTTCTTGAAAACTCAATATTTTTCTGGGGAAAAGAGATTAAATTTCTGTATTTTCAGAAACGCACAAATGTCATTTTCGCAAAAACTGCTCCAATTTGTTTTCTTCAAACTTTTCGTAAGGTTAGTTATTATTGCACTGCTTGAGATGACATAATTAATTTTTCTGTATCCTTTTGTTTTTCAAAAATTACACAAAAGTATTTTTTTAAATATCTTTCGCGCTGTTAATATGTACATTTCTTGCTGTTTATATACATTATTGTAGTTGTAAGTGGAAGAAGTAAGTTGAAGTGACCAAATGTAGATTTTCCAAATCACAAAAGAGTGAAAAAGTGCTTCTAATTTCGCATTTAACCCGTCGAGGTGGGTCGGTTCACGTCCTGACCCAGGAAGGGCTCTCAAGTATTCCTTTCTTTCACCAGTCATCCTTTTCGTGCCCATCGTTCATCCTCATTCGTTGATAACATCCAGTCTCTTTTTCTTCTCCCCCCGGTACTTCAGTGGCCCCCCCTGTTTACAGAACGCCCACGCATGTTTGCCGTGCATGGCGACTCGTGTCGGAGGGAATGTGTGTTCCGGCGGTTGAGGGGCCGGCTTGTTTACCTGCTACTTGTGCTTCTTTCTGTTTTGCACCTAGGGATACTTTGTTTACGTATTTCGAGGAACATTCTTTGAAGATTTTCAACACACTTGGTTTGTCCTCGGACTCTAGACGGGCAATCTGGGGCTAACCCAATCCCGATCAATGAGATCGGACTTGGTCCTATACTGATGACCGGGGAGGTCAATATGACCATATGACCGGGGAGGTCCATGGCGGGGCAGCGCTGCCATCCCTCCACTATCTCCGCAGCAAACCCTGACACTCCGGAGTGTCCCCTAGTTGGGCTCCTTGATGGGTGGGGACCACGGGGATGAATCTTATATCCATCTCCATGGATACTAAACCTCCCCTGCCCTTCTCCGCAAGGAAGAGATGTCGGGAATGAACTATTGACTTAATAGTTTATTTTCTGAAGCTGAAGATAGACCGAACCCTCGTTTCTTCATAGAAGCGCTGAGAAAGAGAAAACATTTAAAAACTAAAATTCTGTCCGTCTGGCAGGGACCATAGACAACACGTACGGAAAGCTCCAAGCGGTCGTGCGACAGAGGAGTGGAACGATTATTTTTGAAGCACGTACCGCCGAGCAAGTGGATAAATTACTGAAAACTAAGTAGATTGAGGGCCTCCAGTTGATAGTGACGACGCACTCAACCTTGGACCTCTGGAAAGGCGTAGTGAACCACGAAGATTTTTTCGGAAAATGAACTTATTACATTTTTAACAGTCCGGTTCTGAAGTGCATAGGATTAACAGGAAAGAGCAGGGGAAAGTGATATATACTTCAACCCTGATCATTACGTTACGCCCCTCCCTGAAAGGATCAGTTGCTGCTTCTACAACCTCCAAGTGCGACTATATGTACCAAATCCGTTGCGCTGTTTTAAGCGTCAAGTGTTAGGGTATACCCAGCAAAGATGTGTGTCGCAAAACCCAGAGTGCGGGAAGTGCGGTGCATCAGTGCGCCACACCACCGCTGTGTAAATTGTGACCATCCAGTCAACTAAAACCAATACCCTACCTTTCTGTGGGAAAGAGATTCAAAATATAAGTGTCACCGAAAAGGTTTCCTTCCATATGGCCAAATGTCGGCACGAGGCTAGAAAGCCACTAGACTTATCACGATGCTTCTCCAGTAACCTAAAGACAAGGTCATCAGGGGTAATAGCAAGTTGTCCAACAGTGTGTTCCTGTTCGAGTAATGCACTTCAGTTGTCAGGTGCCGCATATAGACTTCCTTGAAGATGTGGCATGCATTCAAGGTGGGAAAGTAATATCAATGAAGTTTTAAAAAACTAGAAAAAAAACCACCAGCCACACTTCTACTGGGCCCCTTGAGGAAATAAATTCCAGTAATTTAGCTTGTGAACAAAAATTCTTTATCGAAGACCCATCAGGACTCGCATTGAGCAATCCTCCAGCCCCTGTAGATTTCGACCGTTTATGGCAAAAAAAAAACGGAAATCCCCCGACATAGGCCACCCTCTCCAACTACAGTTAGGATGACTCTGCTCTTTACGAGAAGTACGAAGAGAGTTTCTCTATGACCTTTCAGAAGGTGAGAAAGAAAAGCCAAAGAAGTAATTCTCTACAACGACTCTCTCATGGAATTTAAACGGCATTAGTGCACATTCAGAAGAATTGAAATGGATAATTTCTCGCCGTAGACCATCTATAGTCTGCCTTCAGGAAACTCATATTCTTCCCCATCAGTCCCTCTGTCTTTGCGGTTCTGATAATTTGTATCAACACACGCAAAGGATGGATGACGCAAGACTACCTAAATTAGCTTTACTCTACCAACCGCTTGGAAGGAGAGACGTGGGAAGACCCAAAAAACGATGGAAAGAAAACTTGTGAAGACGGAACAGGCTCAAGCCTAATCCATGAAGTGCGGAAGAAGAATATAATCCGCAGGCATTCGGAT